GAATTCTAAGTCTTGCTATTCTCCTTGCTCCAAGAATTTCGTTTGCGTTTAATCGCTTCCCCGAGCTGCATTTTCGAGTGAATGGAGGAATAACTAACTTTGCTCTACGTTCAAGAAGCAATCCCTGAATATTGAATCCCCTATCGGCCATGATTATATCACCCGGTTCAACAAGTTTTAGGAATCCGCTATTTACCGTAATAAATCTATCTGAAACATTACCTCCCCACAGTTTTGAAACAAAAGTGAATGCCCCGTCTGGACTAATACCAACAAGACATTTGTATGTATTATGTGATTTATATGTTCTGTTAGTTACAACTTGTGCAGTAAGTGTAGCAGGCTTCTGTATAAAAAAGCTCTGTACAATCTATAATGCATCTAGTTTTAGGATAGAAAAGTTTGAATGATAGAGGCATGTGTTTGTCGATTTGTTGTCGACTTGGCCATGGTAAACATTGAAATATGGTTGCCATATATGTTATCCATGTTGTAAATATTTGTGAAACACTGGTAGAAGAAATGCCAAACAAATCACCCAAAAATACAGACATCAACCCCAATCGTAGTCGCATCAATGTTAAAATATATTCATCATATCTACTTAATTTTCTTTTGGGCGCAGGCTTTTTCTTACCACCCTTGTTTTGATAGTTTTTATTACTGGCGCTTTGACTGCCACTCCAGTATTTCAAATTTGTTTCTCTGTCATCTAAAATCTTAAAAAAAATCCATCCAAAGTTTTACGATTTGGTAAACAAACCGATTTGTCAGATTCAAAAACTTTCTCCAGTACAAGTTAACGCCTCAAAGTGTCCTTATTATCTAACTTTGTTTTTAATATAGCATAGTCGTTTGCCCTTTTATTTAAGTGTTCAATCTGTTCTCCAGTCAAATCAGTCTGTGTTGAGATTTCGCAAGTAGTTTTAGTGAATATTTGACCATTTGAATCTCCATGATTCGGCAACAGGAACGGGTACAGCAGACGCCGCTCGAATTTCTACCCACCACGAACGTTGAACGGGCTGTCATCCGGGTACTTTGGGAACGGCCTCTAGCGGAATTCCGAGGAAAACAACTCGAAAATTAGGAATTGAACAAGTATAGTATAACCCCCCCACCAATCACACAATGTACCAGGGAGTAACGACTAAAACTACACTAATAATTTTTCACTCGTATAACTTCATTCACCTTGCAAGGAGAACCAATTTAATCATGTTCACAAGTCTACCATTTCCTAGAGAAGAATTTGCTAATCCCTCCAAAAATCTATATACCAGTTATCCAAAACTGAAATAGTAAAACTTACTTTTTCTATTTCTTCTCCTTTAGTATCATGATGACATTGATCATCAATGTTCATTTGTTCATCAACGTTATACTATTATCATCTGTGTCAACATAATGGTAAGCTTCATCAGTGTTCATTCGGTTGTATTCTTGAGATGGGTGACAAATATTATATTGTATCAGTAAAAAAAAAAATTGCAAGTTGAGTATTGAAACAGATTTACTGTGGATGTGACAAGTCTGAACATATTGATTAATCAAAGAAACTTAGAACTCCTGTGTGCTGAGAGTATTGGAGACACATCAAAATTAATTCAAAATTTAAGATTTGATTTTCAAACGAGAAGCTTGGCAACTAATATTTGTCTATTTGAGATGCACAACATGAAAAAAATGTGATTTACATTATCAAAATTTAATACATACAGAAAATACATTTGATTTTTGATCCATGGTTTTTAGTGTGATTTATTCCAAAGCACCTCTACGATAAATTCAATTTAAATCTGATTGTTTTAAATATAAGAAATGGATTAATAATAGATAATCATTATGCATGTTTATTAAACTAATCTTGTTGTGGTTTACCTCAGTGAACCAAATGAAATATTATACAAATTAGGCAATTAGCATACATAGATTTAGGTCTGTATATTGTTTCAGTGTGAACATGTACAAAGTTTCATTATAATGTGATGATTAATCATAACCAAATTAGTGGAAAGCTGAAAGGTAAATTATTATGAAATTAGGTAATTATTATAGATGTATATGAGCCTACAATTAATTTGATCATCACATTGTGTTAGAGTACATATGTACCAAGAATCATTGAATTAAGATAAGTACTGTCAGTTTCATTGGAATGTGATTAGAATAAAAAAATATGATTTATAATGCAAATTTGGTAATTAATATGATCTGATTTTAATTCAAAACTGAATGGGTCTGTGCCTTGTTCTGAAGCATAAATGTACCAAGTTTCATTGAAATAATTGCGATTACTTGCGATATCAGTGTAAAAGCCAAAAATTAACAAATTTTGCAAAATAGTACTTGAAATATCAAGAGCTAAAAATTGATCAATTATGCAAATTGGGTAATTGATATTTCGCATATCTGTCTGTGCATCGTGTTATGTATCTATGTAAGTTTCATTGAAATGTGATGACTTGTACCTGACATATCAGTCGAAAAACAAAAATTGACTAATCTTTATGCAAATTAGGTTAATTATATGCATGGACTTTTACCCAAAACTAATAATCTATGTACCTAGTTTCATAAAAATATAATGACCGGCTCTTTAGATATTAGTGGAACAGTCAAGGAACAGCTAACATTAGCTAATTATCATGCAATTAATCAGGTAATTAATATGCATGGGTTTCAACCGAAACCTAGATATCACATCTGCGCATTAGTCCATAGCATATATACACTAAGTTTCATTAAAACCAACATTCGGTTCTTGAGATATCAGTGGAACGGACAGACACACACACATAAACACAGGCAGGGTAACTGTAGAGGACTGCCATTGTGTGCTTCAAGTAGCAAGAGGGTTATTAGTCACTGTATCATATGAACATGTTGCATATCGTTCATAGTTTTGATGTTTAGTGTTAAATATCACTTAAAAAATTACCGCATATGTAGTCTCAAGACATAAATAAAAACACAACTTAGAATATGGTTGCTTCATTTTTATCTTGTATTTTTTTTAGCATAGATGTCTCTGTTGATCTCGGAATATACTTTACAACACTTTGATTCCCGTACAGCAATAATCTGTTTGCTCCAATTGCTCAGCAACAGCCAATTTCTATTGTTCATCAGCAGTTGCTGCAATACATGTTAAGTTCATACTGTAGTGAATCAATCTGTAAGTATTTCTCAAAGCATGGTATGTCAGACTTGTGTTGATATTTGAATCTGATCTACAAAACAAAGTAACATGCATAACATAACTGAGATTTGATTCTGAATTGACAGAAATGCATGATTTCGGAAAATTTTGGCAATAAAATGGCTTCCCTTTCTGGAAGTTTTGAATTTCTGTGATCTTAAACAGAATAGGCTGATAGCAGAAAACCATTGAATGGTTATCAATCCAGTACAATAGTGGACCAGGACTTATAGCTCCAAATGTATTTGCAAAGAGTATAAATAAACATGTACTTAAAGTTCAGTAACCTGTAATAGGCACAGATACAACAACACGAAATCCTGTCTCGGCTTTTCTTGTGACGACTAAATTTCTACCATTGAGTGGTAACATGCTCACTTGCACCTTTAGATGAAAAAAATAAAGTTAAAGCCATAAGGTATTTTGTGTGAAGTGCTAGATTTCATTTTATATAACAAATATAAATTAATGACACAACTGCTTAATTCTTAGTATATATTTTATAATTTATTGATGACAGTAGCTTATACAAGTTACAACTTGTTGACTGCAAAACAAAGTATTACAACATGTTGCAACATTCTCATTTCTATCATTATTATCATATATTTATATGGCCACTGAAAATTTGACCTAATTTGCATTATTTTCAAGCTATAAAAGAAAGTATTTTGTCATTGTAATGAAATGTAATTTTACCCATAGCTCCTTGCTGAAAATTCAAAATGGAATACTAATTAAAAAACTTTATATTTATAACATGATAAATTGCATGATGTAAATTGCACTGTTATAGGCCCGGTTTGTCTTATAGATATACGAGTATGTGTGAAGTTTAAACTTGATTGGTCCATCCAGACATGTATGAGATAAGGCTTGTTGGCTGCATTCTTTAAAACAAAATGGACACTAGTTGACCATTTTAAACTTGATCCAAAAAATGCCCAATTATGTTTAATTTATGTACCAAATTTAAATCGTCCACACACAACTGAGATACTGTTCCGAAATGACAATGTGTGACACAGATATACATCAGTACATCACCATCAACCAGTTGTGCTGTGCACACCCCCCCCCCATTTTTTTCATTCAGACAGTATGAGGGTGCTATAATACGGAAGCTTATGAGGGACATACATGAAAATAAAAAAATAATTTAAAACTCGTTGCCACGACTTATTATCTCGTGGTTACGACTTACTATCTCGTGGTCACAACTTTGTATCTCGATCGTGGCCACGATTTTTTATCTCGTGGGCACGACTCACTATCTCGTGGGCACGACTTACTATTTCGTGGGCACGACTTTGTATCTCGATCGTGGCCACGACTTTCTATTTCGTGGCCACGATTTTTTATCTCGTGGGCACGACTCACTATCTCGTGGGCACGACTTACTATCTCGTGGGCACGACTTACTATCTCATGGTCACGACTTACTATTTCGTGGGCACGACTTACTATCTCATGACCACGACTTACTATCTCGTGGTCACAACTTTGTATCTCGATCGTGGCCACGACTTTCTATTTCGTGGCCACGATTTTTTATCTCGTGGGCACGACTCACTATCTCGTGGGCACGACTTACTATCTCGTGGGCACGACTTACTATCTCATGGTCACGACTTACTATTTCGTGGGCACGACTTACTATCTCATGGCCACGACTTACTATCTCGTGGTCGCAACTTTGTATCTCGATCGTGGCCACGACTTTCTATTTCGTGGGAACAGCTGATAGACCGTTATTTCATCCTTGGTTTACACTATATGGAGATATGTTTCATTCTAGCATCATATCACAACTATGATATTAGTGTGAGACGTATTTTAGCTAAGTTAGAATTTTTTCGTCGCAAGATTAGAACTTATGATGATGATGATGTTGTTGGGTTGTTTATTGAACAACAGTTAGGTGGATCAGGTCAACTTCCTGGATGCATCTAGTCTGCATTCAACATGGGATTAGTACAACTCGAGAGACTGTAAGACGCATCATTAAAGACTTGGATCCCGAAGGCGTAGCACTGCGTTCAAGACATCGAATACGTAGACGAGCATATCGTTCATTTGGGCCAAATTTCGTATGGCATATAGATGTCTACGACAAGCTAAAATCATACGGAATTTGTATAAACGGTGCAATCGATGGATACTCTCGTAACATAATGTGGTTAGAAGCATTTCGAACTAATAGTGACCCCAAAGTCATAGCAAGTTACTACATTACAGCAGTCAAAAATAATCAAGCATTCCCTAAGATCGTGAGTGAACATTTCGGGACCGAGAACGGCCACGTAGAATAATTTCAGAAGTTTTTATAAGTTTTTTTATATGGAACAAGTCCAACTAATCAGAGAATTGAATCCTGGTGGGGAATATTGAGAAGAGAAAACTGTCAATTCTAGATGAATATTTTTCAGAAAATTAAAGATGATGTCTATTTTGATGGTACTGCATTGGATAAAAATTTGATACGTTTCTGTTTTACTGCAATGATTCAGGTACGAAAACTAAATATTAAGAATGAACACTTAGGGTATTAAAATATAACTACAGTAGCCTTGAATAATTTATATTGTAATGTGATTTTGAAACTCACCACCAACTTCCACATTTTATGTCGACTTTCTTAACCAATGTGCTTTGTTAATTCATTTTTATGAGTTAGCTAATATTAAATTAATTAAGTTCTTTTAACATTTAGTGTTTTTACCGCATTTTCAGTGGTAAATCACCATAACAAAATCATGTCAATTCGCCCTAATCGTGAATATATCAATTTATATCAAATCAATTTACTTGTGTTGTAATGTTACGACTATACTTATGGTATACCGTCTTTAACTATTTTCCAGGAAGAGTTGGACGAGGTTATTTCAGTATGGAACGCACATAGGATGCGTCCAACACGCAACCAAATTGTTCCGAATGGTTGGCCGATTATGCTTTTTAGTTGTCCACAACTATTTGGAGCTGAAGATTACTCCTTGCCTGTGTCGGTAACCGAAATCTTTGCATGTAAAGAGGAGTGTACGTTTAAAGGCGCATATCCTTGTGACGAAGATATATTATAGAATTGTGTTGTATAATTATGATGGAAATCAACAGAGATGTCCCAACAGATGCATATCAAGCTGTCGAACTATACATTGACCTGTGCACTGCTATCGTACAGGCGCTGGCTTAATGATACTGTAATCATGCTGCGTTTGGGGGACCCTAGATATATTAATTTGGTAACATGGCGTTTGTTCAAAAGAGGATGAGGGAGTAGTTGTTGTGGTCATTTATGCACGTTGTTTTCAAATATCCGTAGCCTACTTTGATGTAATTGCATATAAAAACTTCAATCAAAGATGTTAGTATTTTTTGTAGTAAATATTCACGTTTGATTTGAATAAATTGCTATATTCATCATGATATATACTGTGTGATTTTAACAAATATTCATACACACCGTAGGTAAAAATTTGATAATAATTGCAGACAAATGTCGATTGAGAGTTTAATTAATTTGAAAGTAGCCTTTGGGTGAATTTTAGCAAATTTAGATATGAGATTGCATCCCTGACTAACGCAATTGGAAACTATGAATTACGACTATTTCATTTGTATTAATAAACAAAATAACACTTGAATATCCAAACAACAACGTTTATTAATTCAGTGACCCATTTAGCAGAGTATACAGTAAAAGTAAAACATACCAACGTCCTACATGTGGTCAATGCAGCTAAAACTGAACGTCTGATCCAAGACATGTGAATATATGTAATAGTCACCGAAATTCAATACCATAACAAGAGGAGAAACGAACAACATAATATTAGTAGATAAAACAGGATTTATAATAGAAAAAAAGCGGTAAGGCATGCTTCTTTCCTTTAATACTAATGGTCACTGATAGCAAAGTAGGTGATTTATAAACGTTTTATGTAACACAACGCAACAGTATTTTGAAATGTAACTGTTATAACTGCTCTAGTGTTGATAGCATGATTCTCAAGCCTTCCGAGATTACTGATAAACGACAAAAATATGGCATTAATGACTGTCTTTTGAACTGAACAATCGGATATATGTGGGTAAAACAAACAACAAACAAAGAAACATGCCAAATACAAGCAATTTCATCACAAGAATAGCAAGTGAAAATAAAATTGGGTCGGGCGGTCGGATTTTGTTTTTTAAACTTGTGAAAACTAAGGGTATCGTAAATAGGTATATGTATTTCATAGTATTCGAAACATGTCGGAGAAATACAGAAGAAACACTTTTTCACTGCCTAAAATGGGAAGTTTTTAATATTTGGGCCTATTTGAAAAACAAAACAAAAAAAAACGCGACCCGATATTTCAAATTTTTCTGTCGTTCGCTGAGGGCAACAAAACAATTTTTGGCCTAATCAATTGTAAGTCAATGCTCCACCCCGAGTTATTGGTGTAAATATTCTGTAATTTTTTATGTGCAATAGAAACAGAAATAGTCCTTTGGACTGACAATTACAGTGATGTATGAGAAAAGTGCCTGAATTTGGGAGGAAAGTGTATATTATGAAAACACTTTTAGTGGAACATTTCAGGGATGTTTTTGCCCAAAACACGTTAGAAACACGTTAACACGTAATGAGAATACGAGAATATGACTACAAACAAATTGAACTGCAATTTACTGTTAAATTCTGCAACATTTCTATGATTTTATTTGGTAACTTAGATTTTGATCTGGGAGATGTCGGCATGGACGTAATGTGGTGGAGATTTCCCTGGTCCTTTAAATTCATGAACTTGAGTTTAATCAGTTATCTCGCACATAAAGAAATAAATGGAGGCCGCTGCAAATATCAATGCAACTGCCGACGCTGGCTTTATCAATTACAATTTCCACACGCTTCGTAACGGAGTAACAATATCATCATACCTTCAGGTTTGTTTAGAATAACTTCCGGTTTCCTTCTTTCCTCAGAAAATCAAAAAAAGACTTCATTCGGTTCAAGTTGTTATTGCTTCTTCAACGAATATGCCACCTGTCTACGCACTCCCGATAGTACAATTCAATCATGAATGAGCCTGCGCACGACACAAGTTACCAGCTACTTGAATACGCAACTTACATTAATGTCAGCCGTCGTTTACGAAAGGTATCTCGAAATATTAGCAAAAAAGTAGCAAACTTATTTATTGTTCAATATTTGTTTTCATATTGTATTTATTGTATTAATTAAAGTTCTGAATAACAATTTAATGGTTATGTATTATTAGTCTTAAAGGAGCTCGTTTAAATTAGGCGACAATTGGTGCGTGGTAATCACCATATTGGAATTCAACACTGAGGCTCCGCCAAAAGAATAAGAGCTGTTAAGAAATTGAATCTAATGATTAGATCACAGGGAATAATTGTCTGTTTAGCGCACCGTCGTCCACCTTACTGACTCAAACATTGATTCAACAGCGTGCATGTTTAATTCCATCGGTTATTAAACTTGTGGCAGGTACATGGTATACACACTCGCAAAATACTAAAATCGGTAAATTCATCGCTACATGCATAGTATGACTTGATGCCAAATTTTACGTGTGTGAGCAATTTCCCCCCCAATAAATATGCTGCATACAGTCGATAATAAGTACTGTGTTTACTATAGATGCATACCGTAGACGGCATAAAAGAGTGTCCTGTATATAATCGGGTGGTTTCGGTTGAAACATTGCATGTTTGTTTGTTTTCTGAAGTGCCTCAAAATAAAACAGTTTCAAAGAAAAGTGCTTTAGTTACTCTTATGAAATGTTGTACATGTCATATATGTAAACACTTATAAAACATGCATAGTCGAGTGTTTTACCTTGAAACAGTGCATGTGTGCTTGTTTTAGGAAGTGTTTCAAGACAAAACAATTTGTAAGAAAAGTGTTAGTTACACAGATGAAATTGGTGTTTTGGGTTGAAACATCGTTGGTGATTTTGCTTTCTGCAGTGGTTCAAATTTCGAGAAAAATAACATGTGAGAATGCTACCGTTCACCAAATGCGGATTAATAAAATCCGTTAGGCCACGAGGTACTTAATTCACCACGTGTCTCGATTTCTAGTTGTACTTAGGTTGGTAAAGCCATATAGGTTGGTGCGTGACATAACATTATTTTCTGGAGGTAATGTCATGACCCATCGCATCATTACCTCACTTTCGGTGATTGTCTAGTTAGCATATATACCATAATTTTTACTCACGAGTCCCCAGACTTTTCACTAAATTTTGCATAAGGGTGGATGCACTAGTCCTTAAATGTTCTATCAATAAACACTTTAATTACACATTTATGTCACCGTAAAACACCTAGCGTTTTTATTTCGGAAAAGTGTATTTTTGTGTGTTTACAATGTGCTTCATTTTCATCAAAAAGTGCTTTAATAACTCCCTAAAACACTTTTCTAAAAATACTAAAACACTACTGTTTTGATAGAAAATACAAGTGTTTTATTATACAATACACATGTTTTTAATTACAACAGTGTGTTTTCAATTAAAACGGCGTGTTTTAATGGAAAAAATGAAAGTGCTTCTGAGATTTACAGTGTACAAGTTATTGCAATGGATATCCGAGAGCCCGTAACGTTGTTGTTGTTTACTGTCGTACATCGTCATATCGTAACGATAATGCTGTCTGTAAACCAACAAGCTTTGTAGATTGAATAAACGTCTAGGGGATTCACATTTTCGTTTACTCAAACTGTGATTGACAAGCATTTTGCATACATTAGCCGCCATTTTAAAATCGTGATTTTTACTTGTCGCGGCACGTTTTGACCAAAAACAACAACATTTATACATCAAAAGCCCAACCAGATGAGTGCAATCGCTAGCGTACATATTCACGCCCCCGTAGATATGTATTTGGAATCACAGCTTGATCCCCAAACATCGTAAATGGCACATTCCACGGAGCTC